TTTTTTTTGTAGTCAAAAGATTGGTACAATACAGCGATGCTCTATTGAAAAATTTCAATAAATCAATTTTCGTGATTGGGAGAGTGAAATATATTTTGGGTGTTCACACAATTGGGATACGATCTACAAAAATCTGGCAAATACCCAATTGTGTGACACTGCCTTTAAACTTGTATTTATACGGATTTTGGTAAAGAACGAACTATAAAAAACTAACCGAAATTAAATAACAACAAAAATAATATTTTAAAACTTGTCAAAATTTGGTGCGGCCATAATTTTTTCGACTACTGTACATAAGTTGGCTATGATTACACGGCCGTGCTATCATAGTAGCACAATGCCACTCATATTTGACTTACAAACAAAATACGGGGAGGAATTTCAAGATTTCAACCCGGTTATTATGAAAATTTTTATTTATATCAATATTTTTCTATTAATCAAAATGTGTAAAAGTGAAACAAAAAAAAAATTTTGCCAGACACCCCCCGAAAAAAATCCTGGCCACGGCCCTGTTTGTCTATATCTATCTCGACTCGTTTTGGCTGTTACAAACAACCGTTATGTGAACAAAATTAATATACCTTTGTGCACAAGTGCGCTCGGGTATAATAAAATATTAATAAGCCACAATAACATTGACATATACATAGTTTAGGAAGAGACTGCCTGAAACTATACAATAAAGCAAATAAGCAAATGTAGGTATAGAATTGACAACAACAACCACGCTGTCAAGTTTAAATATTGGAAAATCAGCTGCACTTGGTAGTTGTTGGTTGAATAAGGAAAATGAATTAGCAACAAAAGTTTACGGGGTGTACATAGCTCAGTGGTTAACGCTTCTGACTTTGCACATCGACTACGCAGGTTCGATCCCTGCTGAAGTCTAGAAAAAAGAAGTCTGATAGGAGATGTGGTGATCTGCGAAATAGCTGCTATAACTTCTACCGCTTAGACTTTGTGGCTTTTTCAATTTTTCCTAATAAACAATCGTGTTACAAAGCTCAATAAAACTATTAAAAAACTAAAAGCTTTAATTTGTAGAAGATTTGTACTAATCATGCAATGGAAAAGAAAACAGCATAAAAAAGAGTCCTATCCAAATATGATTACACGCAGAGCCTTATAAACCTCTTTTAGAATATATGTTCTTTATTAAGAGCATATAAAACCCTTATAAAATGCTCGGTATACTAGTAGGGTCTTGCAAAGCCTTTATAAAACCGATTGTTTTATAAGGCACCTTGAGTAGAGCCCTTGGTCTAACACTGACTAAGTATTTCATGAGAAATGTCATACGAAAGAGAAATATTTTAGGAAATGAAATGTCAATTAAATAAGAATTTCAGGACTTTGTCTAATTTTTTCGGCATTTTTTCTGAACGTAATTTTATGAAAATTTGTAACTGATTCGTTAAAGGTGCGTACTGCCACTTCGTAGGACCTGGTTCGATCCGTGGCCCGAGCAACATCTAAATTAGAAAAGGTTTTTTCTAACAGCGCGCTTCTCGGCAGGCAAAGGCATAAGAAAAC